CCGGAAAAGGGCCTCCATTCCCCTCTTCTTCCTTTCTTGTGTTTTTGTCATTTAAAGGGGAACAGGAGAAGACAAGGGAAAGAGAAGGAGAGAGCAGAGATAAAAGGAACACAATTCTAATGGGAAGAGCCAAGAAAAGAATAGAAGAGAGATGAACAAAGAAGATGGAGAGACAAAACAAGGCGCAAAGAAGATGGCACTCTTCTTTATCTATCCTCTCGCCCTTCTCTCTCCCTTCCCTCTTTCTTTTCGAAACAGAAAAACTAAAAAGGAAGAACTTGAAAAGGAGAAGGGTAAGGAAAAGAGCAGAAGAGACAGGTCGAAAAGAGGAATATGATGAACTGAAAAGAAGAGAAGACACAAGAAACAAGGAGACGGATAGCACTCTTCTTTATCTATCATCTCTCCCTTCCTTGTCTCTCGCTTTCCCCTCTACAATTAAAAAAATAGGTGCCCTCTCTCCTCTTCAGGAAGCCCCCTTGCCCTTATTTTGCTAGCTTTCTGAAACGACAAGGAAACAACACATACAAAGAGAGGAAAGGGAATGAAACAATAGGCAGTGGAGCTCTTCCGTGTCTTTACCTATCTCTTTTCTTGTTTTTCTTTTTCATTCAATAAGGAAAAGAAGCTTCCTTTGGTGTGATTTTGAGATTCAAAAGAGAACAAGAGAAGAGAAGGGAGAGAGAAAGGAGAGAGGAGAGATCAAAAGGAAGCAATTTTCATGGGAAAAGCAATGAAAATCATGGAGGAGAAATGAAGACAGGAGACCGGGATCCCCGCAAAAGTCCTGCAAATACCACACAAAACGGAAAAGGGTAGGAACAACATTTGCGGGTCAAAATTTGCCGGGATCCCCTTGGCACCCTGCAAAAGTCCTGCAAATACCACACAAAACGGAAAAGGGTAGGAACAACATTTGCGGGCCAAAATTTGCCGGGATCCCCTTGGCACCCTGCAAAAGTCCTGCAAATGCCACACAAAACGGAAAAGGGTAGGAACAACATTTGCGGGTCAAAATTTGCCGGGGTCCCCTTGGCACCCTGCAAAAGTCCTGCAAATGCCACACAAAACGGAAAAGGGTAGGAACAACATTTGCGGGTCAAAATTTGCCGGGATCCCCTTGGCACCCTGCAAAAGTCCTGCAAATACCACACCAAACGGAAAAGGGTAGGAACAACATTTGCGGGTCAAAATTTGCCGGGATCCCTTGGCACCCTGCAAAAGTCCTGCAAATACCACACAAAACGGAAAAGGGTAGGAACAACATTTGCGGGTCAAAATTTGCCGGGATCCCCTTGGCACCCTGCAAAAGTCCTGCAAATACCACACAAAACGGAAAAAGGTAGGAACAACATTCGCGGGTCAAAATTTGCCGGGATCCCCTTGGCACCCTGCAAAAGTCCTGCAAATACCACACAAAACGAAAAAGGGTAGGAACAACATGTGCGGGTCAAAATTTGCCGGGACCCCCTTGGCACCCTGCAAAAGTCCTGCAAATGCCACACAAAACGGAAAAGTGTAGGAACAACATTTGCGGGTCAAAATTTGCCGGGATCCCCTTGGCACCCTGCAAAAAGTCCTGCAAATGCCACACAAATCGGAAAAGGGTAGGAACAACATTTGCGGGTCAAAATTTGCCGGGATTCCCTTGGCACCCTGCAAAAGTCCTGCAAATACCACACAAAACGAAAAGGGTAGGAACAACATTTGCGGGTCAAAATTTGCCGGGATCCCCTTGGCACCCTGCAAAAGTCCTGCAAATACCACACAAAACGAAAAAGGGTAGGAACAACATTTGCGGGTCAAAATTTGCCGGGATCCCCTTGGCACCCTGCAAAAGTCCTGCAAATGCCACACAAAACGGAAAAGGGTAGGAACAACATTTGCGGGTCAAAATTTGCCGGGATCCCCTTGGCACCCTGCGAAAGCCCTGCAAATGCCACACAAATCGGAATAGTGTAGGAACAACATTTGCGGGTCAAAAGTTGCCGGGATCCCCTTGGCACCCTGCAAAAGTCCTGCAAATACCACACACAACGGAAAAGGGTAGGAACAACATTTGCGGGTCGGGGTTGGGGGGTCAGGAATTAAATAATTTAAATAATTTAAATACCCCAGGGGGGGCGTCCGGGCATTTAAAAAATTTAAATTATTTAATTCCCCGGCTCGTACTTTAGTATTGGGGGGAGGCCCGTGCTCGTAATTCAGTATTGGGGGGAGGCCCGGGCTCGTAATTTAGTGTTGAGGGGGAGGCCCGGGCTCGTGATTTAGTATCGGGGAATTGAAAAATTGATTTCATTTCAATGTCCAGGGGCCCGATTTGGCCAAATTTTGCCGGGCAGCCTCCGGGCAAAATTTGGCCAAATCGAGCCGCGCATTTCTCATGGCATACGAAGGGCAGCCCGATTTGGCCAAATTTTGCCCGGAGGCTGCCCGGCAAAATTTGGCCAAATCGAGCCGCGATAGTTTAAAATAATCTCGGGCCTTCAGAAAGGCGCGGCTCGATTTGGCCAAATTTTGACCGGAGGCTGCCCGGCAAAATTTGGCCAAATCGGGCCCCTGGACATTGACATGAAATCAATCTTTCAATTCCCCGATACTAAATCGGGGGGGGGCCAGGCCCGACCAGGCCCCCCCCCGGAATTAAATAATTTAAATAATTTCAATCCGAAAGGGGTGTTCAGGATTTAAATTATTTAAATTATTTAATTCTGGGAGAGGGAGGGGGCCCGGTGGGCCGGGCCCGATTTAAATAATTTAAATATGAAGCTCCCGAATTAAATATTCATATTTAAATCGTGGCCTTCATATTTAAATTATTTAAATCGGGCCCGGGAATTAAATAATTTAAATAATTTAAATAATTTAAATCCTGGAGGGGGGGGGGCGGGCCTCCTCCCCCAGGAGGAATTAAATAATTTAAATATGAAGGCCTCGATTTAAATATGAATATTTAATTCGGGGCCTTCATATTTGAATTATTTAAATCCTCCTGCAAAAGGAGGCCCGCCCCCCCCCCCTCCCGGATTTAAATTATTTAAATTATTTAAATTATTTAAATTTTTTAATTCCCGGGCCCGATTTAAATAATTTAAATATGAAGGCCACGATTTAAATATGAATATTTAATTCGGGAGCTTCATATTTAAATTATATAATTCGGGCCCGGGAATTAAATAATTTAAATAATTTAAATAATTTAAATAATTTAAATCCTGGAGGGGGGGGGGCCGGGCTTCCTCCCGCAGGAGGAAGTAAATAATTTAAATATGAAGGCCCCGAATTCTACAATATTACTATTTAATTTGCGGGGGCCTTCTAGTTAATTATTTAATTCAATCCTGCGGGAGGAGGCCCGCCCCCCCCCCCCCTCCAGATTTAAAATTATTTAAATTATTTTAAATTATTTACATTACATTTAAATTATTTAATTCCCGGGCCCGATTTAAATAATTTAAATATGAAGGCCACGATTTAAATATGAATATTTAAATATGAAGGCCCCGATTTAAATTATTTAAATCGGGCCCGGGAATAAAATAATTTAAATAATTTAAATAATTTAAATAATTTAAATAATTTAAATAATTTAAATAATTTAAATATTTTAAATCTTGGAGGGGGGGGGCCGGGCCTCCTCCCGCAGGAGGAATTAAATAATTTAAATATGAAGGCCCCGAATTAAATATTAATATTTAATTCGGGGCCTTCATATTTAAATTATTTAATTCTTCCTGCGGGAGGAGGCCCGCCCCCCCCCCCTCCAGGATTTAAATTATTTAAATTATTTAAATGATTTAAATTATTTAAATTATTTAATTCCCGGGCCCGATTTAAATAATTTAAATATGAAGGCCACGATTTGAATATGAATATTTAATTCGGGAGCTTCATATTTAAATTATTTAATTCGGGCCCGGGAATTAAATAATTTAAATAATTTAAATCCTGGAGGGGGGTGGGGGGGCGGGCCTCCTCCCGCAGGAAGAATTAAATAATTTAAATATGAAGGCCCCGAATTAAATATTAATATTTAATTCGGGGCCTTCATATTTAAATTATTTAATTCCTCCTGCGGCAGGAGGCCCGGCCCCCCCCCCTCCAGGATTTAAAATATTCCAGGATTTAAATTATTTAAATTATTTAAATTATTTAATTCCCGGGCCCGAATTAAATAATTTAAATATGAAGCTCCAGAATTAAATATTCATATTTAAATCGGGGCCTTCATATTTAATTCAGGCCTGGGACCCCCCCTAGGACCTAAAATAGGGTCTATTTGGAAGTTGGCTCTTGTAAATAAGTATACGTTTTGGGGCCTTTTTTCCTCTTGTGAACACGAGTGCCAGCTTCCAAATAAACCCTATTTAAGCTGCACACCCCCCCCCCCCCCGCAATTAACCCCCAAATCACCCCTACGGTCCTTATAAGGGTTCCTCCTTTAGTACCTTGAGAAAGGGGTAGATGAACCCGGGGGCTCAGAGATTTTGCAATGAGGTTTGAGCTGTTCAGGGAGGTGGCGCCGATGACGGTGGAAAACTTCCGTGCGCTGGCGACCGGCGAGTCAGGCTCAACCGCGCCTAAACTAAGCCCTAAACCCTAAACCCTCAACCCTAAACCCTAAACCCTAAACCCTGAACCCTGAACCCTGAACCCTGAACCCTGAACCCCAAACCCTAAACCCTAAACCCTAATTAAGGTTATCATCATAGCAGAGTCTTGTTGTCGAGACTGGGCGGCTGGGTTTGGCATTGCCGGCGTTGCCTGCCTCATGCTTTGCACCAACACCTGGCAACACTGAGAAGGCTCGAGGATAGATATCACAATGCTCGATGTGCCTGAACTGGCTTTCATTCCATTCAGTTTGTGAGTTGGAAAGAGATTTGTGTTGGGACCCTCTACGACCAGGTGTAGTCAATATGCCAAGGATTGTTTCTGAAAAGACAACTCCCTACCGCAGCCTATGTGTCACATCGTAGGCATTGCAAAGTTGCCAGCCAATGGTGCGCCAGTGTTTGACACTTGGATGTGGCTTGGTGGCTGCCAGTGTCCCTTGGATGGGTTTAGGGTTTCGGGTGTGGGGCGAACCGAAGGGGGGAAAGGAACCAAAATATCAACCCTTAAGGTCGCTAATTTGTGTTTAATTCTGTTCTCCGATCCCTGGATCCCTGTAGGGGTACCAACCAGGACTAGGGGGGTCCAGTGTGGGGTTACCGGCCCTAAGGCAACACAACCAACCCAACCAAGGCTTCCTAAACCAACACCCCCAAACCTTACTCCTGCGGGCTCCACTTTTCCTGGCACCTTGCTGACGGCTCGTCCGGCCATCGTGAGCCACATACAGTGGCGGTTCACAACGTGCTTCAATGACCCTATGACATCTCCGCATAGGGTTTAGTGTTTGGGGTTTGGGGTTTAGGGTCTAGGGTTTAGGGTTCTTCACAAAAGCGAGTTCCATCGGAGCTCCAGCGGTCGTTTGTCGTTTGCGAAGTAAGCCCCCGGCAATTTTTTGGGTTGGACTCCCCTAAGGCCCGACAAGCCCGAGTGACCACTCGCTAAACCCTAAACCCTAGACCCTAAGCCCTAAGCCCTAAACCCTAAACCCTAAATCAAAACCCCAAACCCTCAAGCCTAAACAGCCCGTTTCAAGCGTGCCCCAGCACCAACGAAGGTCTTCGCTAATCTGACAGGGGGCATCTACCTGAAAATGCCTGACTCATTCGCAGGAGCTCCGGTCAATACTGCTTTAGCTGGTGATTCTACACCCTCAACCACATCGACTTCTTCAGCACTTGTGACAGGTGCATCGGGTTCTGGCACGACGACAGATGCGCCCGTGAGACCATCTCCTTCTACGCTCACCACCATTTTCACAAATGTTGCATGTGGATCTGGCCGTGATGACCAAAGCAAAGCGCGAGTTTCGAAACATGCTAGCTGTGCCAGCCTCCATAGGTTTGGTTAGGTCATGGCAGCCATTAGAGGCCCCCGCAAAAGAGAAAGCTGCTTTCTCCAAGTGTTCCTAGAGCTGTCGAGGTTGGGAATCACGTGAAGCTTGGATTGGCGTCAGCTTGTCCGGTTCGCTGCTTCATCACGCGGGAGCTGCAGAAGTGGCGAAGTGCGGATGGCGTCGTGCTCGATCCACTGTGTATGTCACCATTGAGGACCCCTGACACTTGGAGGTTCATGGTACTTACTAAACTACTCTAACTGTGCTTATAACCATACTAGGGCACTTAAAGGACCCCTGACAAGAGTGAGAAGCCGGCGCACCAGAAGTGGCTCTTCAACTTCGACTTCGAGCCGCCCGTGCACATGGGCAGTCAGTTGGGAAGGGGAGCTGTCCAGAAACTTGAGCCTGCAATCGACTGGACGTTCACATATAGTCCGGACAGTGACTTTCATAAGAAGCACTGGGCCTTTAACACGCGCGGAGGATGCCAGCGTTTTGTCAACCAACTGGGCGGCGAACAAGAGCCTCATACTGCTGTGGTTCTCCAGCAAAGGATGTACCGGGCCTCACCGGCACAAGCGCGCCGAGGTCTTCCAGACCCTGTCTTCGCATCTTCCTGCTGGAACGGCTCACATCTACGGTGCGTGTGGGAAGCGCGATCCGTGCTACAAGGATGGCCGGGCCACTATCCTTAGCCCAAGTAAGGCCCATATGGCGCCCGGGAGCTGCATGCAGAAGCTGGTCAGCCCTTACAAGTTCTATGCTGCTTTCGAGAACTCTCGATGCCGTGGCTACATCACGGAGAAGTTTAGAGCCAAGGCTAAACCCTAAACCCTAAACCCCAAACCTAAACCCTAAACCCTAAACCCTATTCTCCAAATCCTCGGCTCGGAAGCTCCCCAACGCCTGACCCCTACGTTCAGTCTGATGAACACCTAGGAACTGGGTTCTCGTACGGCATGGTGCCGGTAGCTTTCGGTGGCATGAGCAGATCGGATTACGAGCTCATAGCGCCTTGGGTTTAGGGTTTAGGGTTTAGTGTTTAGGGTTTGTGCACGGGAGGTCTTTCAGATTCTGGGGACAAGGGTGGGTTTAGGGTTGCGATTCGATGCTTTAGTGGGTTGAGAGTAGGGGGGTCGAGGCTAAGATTGAGTTGCAAAAGTGGGTTACAAACCCTAAACTCTAAACCCTATATATATATATATATATATATATAGCCCTAAACCCTAAGCCCTAAACCCTAAACCCTAAACCCTAAACCCTAAACCCTAAACCCTAAACCCTAAACCTTAAACCAAAATAGGACGATATCTGGGCTGCCTGATGATGACAAGGCCCGAACAGCAGGGGCAAGAGAGGTTGAACTCTGCTAATCCCGGCTACCTCAATACTTGGCGCACAAAAGCTTGTGTTTTTTAAAGCCTAGAGCAATAGGGTTGTTTCTGTTTAAGCAGGTCTCAACAGTTTTCCACCATCCCAGGCCCCTAAGCCCCACACCCGCCGGACCCTGGCAAATCTCAGGCACCCCCGGATTCCTTTGTCCACGTAGACGACTTTGGTTCGCTGAAGGAGCTAGCCAAGTTCCTGCTCGAGCTTGATAAGGACTTTAACCTAAACCCGAAATCCTAAACCCTAAACCCTAAACCCTAAACCCTAAACCCTAAACCCTAAACCCTAAACCCTAAACCCACGTTGAGCACTTGTACCATCCTGCGCCCCTGTCCTGCCCATAGTTCCGCGAGTATCGGGAGTAGGGTCTGGGTCATCTACGGTTATCTTCGGGGGGTTCAAGACTGTGTGCAACAATTTCCCGATTGCGGGTTGCTTCATCTTGCTTCATCTCGCATCAGAGGCAGAGTGGAGTTTCTTGTTGCCACCATGTCATGCAAGCCTACTGGGCGCACATTGCGACCCTGCGTTGCCCCCCAGAACAGCAGGACGACAAGAAGTACAATGCTTACTTCGCCTGGAAGTCGCGGCTTCAAGTGGAGGATCGGATGATAACAGGCACTCGCGCGTACTGCGACCTGTGTCAGGAGCTTCAAAAGCCGAAAGCGCAGCAAAAGCCGGTGCGCAGATTTGGCAACCTCACGAAGTGGTGGTACTCTGGCTGTCGCGACTAGCAGGGAATAGCAATGGCGACATCTACCACCTGGGAACCAAAGAGTTCCTTCCGAGCTTTCTCTCAGTGTCTCTGCCCATCAGAAGTCTTGAAGGGCACCTGAAACACTTGCCCGAGAAGGCGATCGCGCCGACATGGTCCGCGACAAAATGGCGGTGCATGGCGGCCTTTGACATTTTGAGGGGTGATGTGTTGTCATCTGGTGGTTTCCGAAATTAGGGGGTACCTTATTGGGGTCCATGTTATGAGGGAGTCCTACTACTTGGGGGTCTACATTAGGGGGTCCCCTTTCTTCGCAAACCCCCCATTGATCAGCCTGTAGCAGAACGCTGGATGCGTTTGGGATGTCGGCTCAGCTTCGTTTGCCCTCGAAGAATCCTGCTCCTGGGGTGCGGTCTGTTGCTCTGGTGACTCTGGTTTCATATATATATATATATGAAGGGGTATGTATATATATATATATGTATATATATATATATATATAGATATATATATATATATATATACATATACGTTATATATATATATGTTTATATTTTTCGTTAGGTGTTGCAGCACATCATCCTGCAGAGTGCAACCAGATCTCTTGGAAGAACCATGGCATTTTCGGGGTGAGTCGGTGGACCCGAAACGACCCCAGCAGAAGGACCAGTGACCCCACTTCATGATGCACTCTGATGGTCATGCTTCCCTAACCCTCTGCACAACTCCCGTGCCAAACCTTGCACAATCCCCGACACTTGAGCCCGAGCCAACCCAAGCCCGACCCACTTTCGAAAACTAGGCTTTAGGGGTTAGGGGTCAGGGGTTAGGGGTTAGGGTTTAGGGTTGAAAGTAGGGACCCCTAAAATAGACCCCGAATAGTAGAATGCCTTCATAACAAGGACCCCAAGAAGGTACCCCTAATTCCGGAAACCCCGAATCCTCAGCTGATGCTGCAAGAGGCTTTGACTCAAAACCCTAAACCCTATAAGCCCTAAACCCCCAATTCGGGTAGTGATGGGAGCTGTCGACCAGGGCCTGGCCTGGCGGGATCCCCGCGGCATTTCAAGGGCTCGCCTTTCCACAGGCGTGGGGGCCACCGAAATGGGTTTGTGCATATTCTATATCCGCCTTGTTTTTTTTTCTCTTTGTTTATACAAAACCCAAGAGGATATTAAACGATTCATTTTTATTGAGGTTCTAAGGGGAGCATAGTATTGTTGTCATAGTTGGGTACCATTTACATTTTGAAAGGGTACTTAAACCCAATAAGGAATAAAACAATTTGAAGGTTTAGTTTTGTCCCAGCCATGAACTAACTAGAGATTATGCTGTCAGTAGCGTCTGAGCTGCACACCGTCAAGGCAAGGAAGGCACTTTATGTCCCTGAAAGACCAGGAGTCGATCGTGGCAGTAACTGTACATTTACCACGTCGGCTCTCATTGCAGCCGAGCTGAAAAGAGCTCGCCACCACAAGTAAGCGCAGTTCCGCAGCGGCCAGTTTTTATCGCTAGGACAACTGGTGACAAGCCCCTCATGTTGCGCCTGATGTTGAGTAGCTCAGTGCAGCATCCTCTTCACCTAAGCAGCAGTCACAGGTTCCCCAGTGTTGACAAGGCATCGGACCTTCTTCGCAAGTCTCCAAAACTCCGTCACTGTCCTGAGCACCGTCAGCCCTATTGTCGCTTCGTAACTCGGGCCGCAAGGTGGCCCGGAAAGGTGTGGCAGTGGGAACGCTTACACTGGCCTCCACGCATGCTGTCCTTGGCCTTGCACTTCATGGCTTTGCGGCATGTCACAATCCGCAGGCTGATATCTCGCTGCGCAGATGTCAACACTTCGGACATGTGCTCGAAGCCTGTCCGTGCTCCAAAACTCACGTGCATAACTTTGACAAACAGATCCAGCCACTCGTAGACCTGTTGATGTTTTTTTTGACAAGTGCGCATGCATCGCTGCCTGGGTTGCAAAGGCCTGTCCACATGTCTCACATCGCCATGCACAGCAAGAGGCCCCAACCAGAGGAGCAACTACCAGGCAACCAGCACGCTCATGCTTGCGAGTTTCCTCGGCCAGCGCAGCTGCCTCAACGCCAGCCTGCTGCCCATTCTTCAGCGTCCTCAAAGCAAACGCTTTCAAGAGGGAGGCCCCCTGAATGACTCTGCTTGTCAGAGCTTCAAGACAGTCGCTGGCCTGCACGGGCAGCTGCCAGTCATGGCCGACCAACTCAAGCACATGCCTCAGACAGGCCACAGCCTCACCACCGCTCACAGTGCAACAGTTCTTCAGGCTGCAACACCCTCATGACGCTACACACCTCAGAGTCCCGCAAAAGGTTGGAACTGCCACCCGCTACGGCCCAAGAGCTTTGTCGGCAGAAACTCATGATGGCTGCTCGAACACTATCGCGCCTTGCCTCTATTCTCAACACCCACTGCCCAGCACCGTACAAGAAGCTTCTCAGCACAAGCGTCCGAAGTAGCTCTCTTTTCTCATCTCGGGTCAGCTCGTTGTTGCGGAAAAAGTGTCCTGCACAGCCGCGCCAGCACCGGTTGAGCAGCATCGCGACGACTTTCAACATCAGGCGGCAAGCATGATCCACTGTGAGTGACAAGCCCCCCCCCCCCCCCCAAGATGGCGATATTGTTCCACCAGCCTGACGCTAGCCTCTTTGGCATTTCCTAGTTCCACTGTTCGTGCAGGCTTGTCCACAAGCAAATGTCCTTATTTCTTATTTTTATTATTATCAGTATAATTATTATTAAAGTTATTATGATTCTTATTATTATTAACCGAAATGGGTTTGGGGGGTTTAGGGTGTTGGGACGGCTTTGGGGCCGATGGGGTTCCTGGAAGTATCATTTTCAGGCGGTTTGCTTGGCTGATCCTGCAGCAGTTGGCAGCTGTCATGGCCACAATTCAGCAAAGCTGCCACAGCTTCAGACATCTTCAGAACTCCACAATGAACCCGGGTTTAGGGTTTAGGGTTTAGGGTTTAGGGTTTAGGGCCATTCTGAGAGAGACTGCTCTGTGACAGGATCATCCCGGGCTTTATGTGCCAGGGCGGAGACATTACGCACGGGAACGGAAGAGGACAGCCGCAGACTTCACGGGTTTAGGGTTTAGGGTTTAGGGTTTAGGGTTTAGGGACGATCTTTCCACAGACTTCCAAGCCGTGCTGCCCTTGACTCTCGCTCCAGGCGGCGAAAGCATCTACGGCAAGACCTTCCGAGATGAGTGGGAGCACGGGCGCATCCACCATACGGAGCAGGAGCCCCAGACCCTAAGCCCTACTAAACCCTAAGCCCTAAACCCCAGACCCTAAACCCTAGACCCTAAGCCATAAACCCTGAACCCTAAGTTTGGCCCGGGCTTCTTGAGGCCGAGGGGGCACCCTTGGAATCGAGGGCCTGTGCCTTTTGTTGAGCCTCATTGACCGGCACATTTTTCGGGTTTAGGGTTTCTGGCCCGCAATGCACAAAGAGGAGCCAAAAGCAACAAAAACACTGAGCAGAGGCCTGGTCTGCTGTCGATGGCGAACCGCGGCCGGAACTCCAACGGCTCACAGGCCTATGGCTTCCAGCCCGTCGAGGGTGCAGGAGGGTATGGTGTGAACTAAATGGGCCGCGGCCGACCTGGAGACCTCACAACAAGTCCACTCTTGTCTGCTGCTGTCTTGTGCGGCCCTGGTGAGTTGCTGAGCCGCAATTCCTCTCACCCTAAACCCTGACTCCGAAGCCCCCTGCTCTTGCGTGTTTCGTGAGCCTGCTGCAGTTCTTCATCACTCTGGCCGCCACCCCGTGGCTGGACGACAAGCACGTGGTGTTTGGGCGAGTCCTGTTCCAATCTTACACTCTTACACATCCATGATCCCCTTGTGATGCCAGTTTTCTTGGCGCGTGCTTGAAAAGTCGGTTCCGCATGGGGATGTTCACCCCTACATATACTAACAGTCCTTAATAGGGATTCAAATATAGGGGGGTACGATAATCCCTACTATGGACTGTTCGTATAGGGGGGAACATCCCAAATTCCACACTTTAAAAACTTAAGGTCCGGCATGGATGTCGTTTTGGAGATGGAGAAGCGTGGATCCAGGACTGGCAAACTGACTGCTGTTTGGCTTTTGGGGTTTAGGGTTTAGGGTTTAGGGTTCATGGTTTAGGGTTTAGGGTTTGGGGGTTTACGATGGTAGGGGTACCTTATTCGAGTCCTTATCAAAAGGGAATCCTGCTATTTGGGGGTCTATATTTCGTAAACCCCCCGTATAACATCCATGATGCCAACTTGCAGTGGCATTGTGCGAAAGTAAGTGCAGAGACCCGGCAAGGATGCCAAAGACACATCCTAAGCTGCCACAATTACACACGGTCAGACGGTCAGACAGCAATTGCTACACCGATCTGCACAGCAATTAGGTTGACATTCAGATTATCGGCCGA